AGGCGGGGAACGTTGGAGTCTGCAGCAAGCAAGCCTCCCTGCTCGCTTCAGTGCCTGGCTGCCGGCTGCCATCTTGGCTGACAGTTAATTTGCATATACTCACTGATTAGCCAATGAAAAGGGTAGCGGTCGTATGCCAATTACCATGTTTCTCTTTTATTAGTGTAGATACCCAGATGGCATTGCTTAGGGACTGCTGAGGAAAGAAAAGGAAGTGATAGGACTTAAATCTGAACCTTGTCTTATAATCTACTAGAGGCCCAGTGCATGAAATTCATGCACTGGAGCGGGGGGGACCCTCAGCCCCGCCTGCCCCTCTCATAGTCTGGGAGCCCTCAGGGCCAGGAGGCGACCCAGCGATCAGGGGAAGGCGACACCCCATCACACCTCTGCTGCTGCCACTGCTGGCAGCGAAGCCTCGGGCGGCCCTGGTTACCTGAGCCTTGGGTGGCCCTGGGCGGCTGGGGGACCGAGGAGACTGGGGGACTCCAGAGGCAGGCGCATGAGGCAGGCCCTGCCTTGTTGCGTGCCTGCTGCCCCGGCGGGGCTGAGGGGACAGGGCGCCATCTTGTGGCTGTGGGTGCTGCCATCTTTGAGGGCGTGACAGTAATTAGCATATTCCCTCCTTATTGGCTGTGGGCGCCGCCATCTTTTCCGACAGTGAGGGTCAATTAGCATATTTCCTCTTTATTAGATAGGATGTTAATGTTTCAACCTTCTTAAATTCATCCTCCAGTTTAATGAACATAAAAATCTCATCTCCACTACAGATTACTGATAGTCTCTCTTTTTTGTAACCCCACCTCTTACAAATATAACAATTCTCAAATTGGTATCTTAAGTCTGGACCTCTCCCCTGAACTTTAGAGACTTGTGTATTTAACCTTCAATTTGATATCTTTTCTCCATCTCACACTTAATATGTCCAAAAGGGAACTTCTGGTCTCCCTTTCCCCCAGGACACCTTCCAAACTTCTCTAAGTTAGTTGCAATTCCATCCCTACATCTGCTCATGCAAAAATTCCTGGAATTATCTGTGACTCCTCTTCCTTTCACATCATCTAGTACTATATCCAATCCATCATCAAATCCTCTACCTTCTATATACACCCAGAATTCAACCATTTTTTAAGTCCTCTTTCACTCTCACCTCAGTCCAATTTATGATCTCACACCTGGATTAATCTAATAGTCCCTTGCCCACCAACAGCCTCACTTCATAAGGAGTCAGTGATTATTTTAAAATAGTCACCAGATTATGTTACTCCTTTGCTCTAAACCCTCCAGTACCTTCCGCACTCAGAGTAAAGGCCTAACGAAGGCCTACAAGGCTCATTTCCAGTTGTCCTCAAAAAGTTAGCACGGGCCGAAGCCGGTTTGGCTCAGTGGATAGAGCGTCGGCCTGTGGACCGAAAGGTTCCAGGTTCGATTCCGGTCAGGGGCATGTACCTGGGTTGCGGGCACATCCCCAGTGGGAGATGTGCAGGAGGCAGCTGATCGATGTTTCTCTCTCATCGATGTTTCTAACTCTCTATCTCTCTCCCTTCCTCTCTGTAAAAAATCAATAAAATATATTAAAAAAAAAAAGTTAGCACGGTTCCCTAGGGTAGTTTTATAGAGCATTTTTGTCTTCTTGTAGCATCCTGCCTTAGCTTTTATATATTAAAAACATGTTTTTGTACAGGTTTAATTTCCATATTGAACATGTTATAAATACCTTTCCTTTCATTTGATTGAAGTTATATTTTGAAAATTTTAAGGAAGTTACATATAATTTATGAATTATATTTCAGGAAAGCTGGAATTTCAAAATTGCTATTATAAGATGAGACATTTGAATTTACCCTCCATGATCTGTCTCTCCCCCTCCCTTCCACTCCAAATTCTGTCTCCATCTAGCTCCTACCTATGCCCACTTCACTACAGCCTCATGGGATCATTTGTTACTCCTGGAATTCACCAAAGGACAATCCTGCCTCAGGGTCTCTGGACTTTTCCCTCTTCTTGGAATATTCTTTCCTGGATACCCACATGATTGTTTTCTCTTCTATCAGGTCTTTAACGAGTTTGTTTTTTTTTGTTTTTTACTTTTCTCTTACTAATACCTTGCTTTAATGATCTCCATTATATGTATCACCTTCTGACATACATATTTATTGTCTACCTCCCTCCACTAAATATAAGCTATACAAGTTGGATTTTGTATGCACAAATGTGTCCTCAACAGCTAGAACTATTCCTAACATGTCACCATTTTTATTCTGTTAGTCTCTTGCTGATGGTAGGATGTATCTGTCAATAGACAATGCAAAGTGATTTTGCAAATTTTACAAAACAGGTGGGATATCATGACATTGACAGTAATGTTGGAGCAGAAGCAATGCAACTGACAAATGAAGATCTGCTAGCATTAGACCAGTTAATGAACAAAGACTACAAAACTGATAGGAGAAACACCACAGGCACACAGATATTGTTCCAAAATTTTACATCTTTTATTTTATTACTAGAGGCCCGGTGCACAAAAATTTGTGCACTCGGGGGGCGGGGGGAGGGGGGTCCCCCAGCCCGGCCTGTGCCCTCTCGCAGTCTGGGACCCCTCAGGAGATAAC